TTGTCGTAGCCCTGTAAATAGTTTAGCATTATTGAATGCATTTTAACTGCTATGATACGTATAATGAAACTATAACTGTAGGGATTGATTTTATAATGTGTATTAAAATAAAAACCCTTCAAACTTTAATAATGATTGATTAAATGTATAGTTAATACTGGCTAATCTAAAAGTTAACTATCAACCTTTCTCTGAATCGTTAAAACATAAATTATAATAATACCCCCGCCACAGCAAACCTGCAGACTAAGCGAATTTCCATTTGAATGATTGGATTTACACTGAAATGTCTACTTAAAAATATAACACTTATTCCCTATTTAAATAGAATTAGTTTAACAAGTACTTAGGTTTGCTGCATCAGGGAGGGTAAAACTGCTTTTTTTTTTGTAAAATATTAATAGTTAGTAAGAAATAAAAACTTTTCCAAATTTGATCAAAATATGTTCATAAAAGAAGCAAACTACAACAGTTTACTTATTCTCATAAGAATCACATGGGAATTTTAAATTTACAATTTTTTGGAATTTTCTCCGTAACCATTAGGCGCATAATAACGCTTCAATATACTAAATTATTGTGTTTTTTAAGCTCTACGAAGTGGTTTGGAAAGAAATTGCTAAATTTTATGTTTTTTTTTGTAAAAAATGGGAAAAACCTATTTTTACCCCATAAAACCCCCCGTAAACCCCCGTTCCCATGGTCCGATCATGCTGGATCGCGAACTCGTTCGAACAAACGTAAGTTTACACGTTTGTACCAAATTTCATCAAAATCGGATCATTTTTGCTCGAGTTATCGTGCTAACGGACACACATATATCTTACTAATATTATAATCTGAAAGTTTGTGAGTTTGTGTATATTTTTGTGTGTATGTTTGTGTGTGTGTTGCTCAATCACGCATAAACTACTGGACGGATTGGGCTGAAATTTGGCATGCTGATAGCTCACATTCCCGATTAACATTAAAGCATATTCTTATCTCAAAAACCCTTTCGGGCTCCGCCCCAGTGGCTCTGTAGTTCCCATGTTAATCTTATGATTTTTCATATTTAAAAGGAATTAATGAATCTTAACAGCTGTCTCAATTAAACAAGTTGGTTCTGTTCTATGATGTTCAACAGCATAAAAGTTACAAGGATTACCAACAGGGTGCAGCACTATTAATTTCTTTTTTTATTTATGACAACAGCTAATTTCCAACCC